CAGAGAAAGGTTTCCTAGTGGTCAAGCACAAAGAGCTAGTGCTCCACTTGAATTGGTTCATGTAGATCTGTGTGGACCAATGAGAATCGAGTCTACTGGAGGAAACAAGTACTTCATGTTGCTTGTAGATGATGCAACCAGGATGATATGGGTGTATTTCCTTAGATTCAAATCTGAAGCTTTTACTTGTTTTCAGAAATTCAAGGCCATGACTGAGTTGCAAAGTGGAATGAAGGTAAAATGTGTAAGGAGTGATAGAGGAGGGGAGTTCTTATCAAATGAATTCAAGCAATTCTGTGACACAGAGGGAATCCAAAGGCAACTGTCTCTCTCTTACACTCCACAGCAAAATGGAGTGGTTGAAAGAAAAAACAGAACTGTGATTGAAATGGCCAAGTCTATGCTTCATGATAAAGGAATGCCTTACTATATGTGGGCAGAAGCTGTGCATACTGCTGTCTATCTGTTAAACAGATGTCCTACCAAATCACTGGATAGTATAACACCTTTTGAAGCTTACAGCAAAAGGAAACCTGGTATTGCTCATTTGAAAGTTTTTGGCTCGGTTTGTTATGTTCATACTCCATCCGAGTTAAGACACAAGCTAGAACCCAAGAGTATAAAAGGAGTCTTTGTTGGATATGCAAAATGTGAGAAAGGTTATAGAGTATTTGATCCACTCTCTAAGAGACTGATTCTGTCAAGAGATGTTGTGTTCGATGAAAACTCAGCTTGGAATTGGGAAAGAAGCACAGAAAGATATATGTCACTGCCTACTTATGAAATTGACACTGTGGATACACCAAGAAGTGAGAATGCAGAAAATGACACTCAAGGTTCAAGTGGTTTATCACCTGGTATATTGGAAGAAGCTGCAAGTGGTATTGATGATACACAGGACAATTCTCAGTCAAGTGCAGGTGTGAGTGACACTCAGACATTTGATCATACTCCATTAAAATGGAGAAAGCTGGATGATGTACTTGCTCAATGCAATCTGTGCATTATAGAACCAGAGAAATTTGAAGATGCAGTTAAGGATGAATCTTGGATGAATGCTATGAAGGATGAGCTTTCCATGATTGAAAAGAATGCAACCTGGGAGTTAGTAGACAGGCCAAGTAACAAGCCTGTAATTGGAGTAAAATGGGTGTTTAAAACCAAACTCAACCTGGATGGAACCGTGCAAAAGAACAAGGCAAGGCTTGTTGCAAAGGGATATGCTCAGAAACCAGGAATAGACTACAATGAGACTTTTGCTCCTGTTGCTCGGTTAGATACAATCAGAACCCTTATAGCATTGGCTGCACAAAAGAGGTGGAAACTCTATCAACTTGATGTCAAGTCGGCTTTTCTAAATGGTGTTCTAGAGGAGGAGGTTTATGTGGAGCAGCCTGATGGTTTTGTAGCTAAAGGGGAGGAAGACAGGGTATATAAACTTCACAAAGCTTTGTATGGCCTAAAACAGGCACCACGGGCCTGGTATGGAGAGATCAATACATATTTCTTACAATGTGGTTTCACAAGAAGTTTAAGTGAACCAACACTATACATCAAGGCAGAAGAGAAAGACATTTTGATTGTGTCGATCTATGTGGATGACATAATCTATACTGGGAGCAACAAACAAATGCTTGAAAAATTCAAGGAAGACATGACACGAAAGTATGAGATGACTGATTTGGGTCTTCTCCATCATTTCCTTGGAATGGGAATAATTCAATCAACTTCAAGCATTTTCATCCACCAAAAGAAATATGCAAGCTCTCTGTTAAACAAATTTGGTCTAAAGGAGTGCAAACCTGTACTTACTCCATTGGTTGCAACTGAGAAGTTAACCACGGATGATGGAAGTGGTGCAGCAAGTGAAGAGTTATACAGAAGCATGGTGGGAAGTCTCTTATATCTCACTGCAACCAGGCCCGATATTATGTATGCATCTAGTCTGTTAGCCAGATTTATGCACTGCCCTACCAGTAAGCATGTTGGAACTGCTAAAAGAGTGCTAAGATACATTAAGGGCACACTTGATTATGGTCTGGAATATGTGAAAGGTAAGAACTCAATGTTAATTGGGTTCTGTGACAGTGACTGGAGTGGATCAATTGAGGACAGTAAGAGTACTTCTGGTTATGCTTTCTCCTTTGGCAGTGGAGTATTCTCTTGGGCATCTGTGAAGCAAAATTGTGTTGCTCTTTCCACTGCAGAAGCAGAGTACATTAGTGCTTCAGAAGCAACTACTCAAGCCATTTGGTTGAGATTTGTTCTTGAAGATTTTGGTGAATTTCAAACTGAAGCCACTCCAGTGCACTGTGACAACACCTCAGCAATTGCAATCACCAAGAACTCTGTGTTCCATCAAAAGACCAAACACATTAACAGAAGATACCATTTCATCAAGGATGCACTGAAGGATGGCATCATTGATCTGGTGTACTGTCCAACTAATGAGCAACTTGCTGATATCTTCACAAAACCTCTGCCTAAAGATCGGTTTAATTATCTCAGGAGCATGCTAGGAGTGAAATCAGCTCAAGACTTAAAGGGGAGTGTTGAATTATAAGTCTATAGCTGATTAAGTATTAGAAATAAGGTGAGTTTTAATGTGTGTATTCACTTGAGCATATCTGCCAAGTGTAAGGTTAAATGATGTAAGGCCATGAGTGCCATGTGGTATTTGATCCATGTAATTAGGTTGATGAGTGACTAAGATTAAAAGTAGTGTTTTTGTGTGGTCCTAAAGCTAAGGCCATCAATTAAATGTAAAGCAGTGTGAGTGCGCATTGTGTGTGCTGTACAAAGATTATTCCTCTGCAATACTTTTGCAAGAGAGAACAGAAAGAAAACTTTTTCGGTTCAGCTTCCTCTGTCTTTTGTTCTTGCTTCTGTTCAGCCTTCTGGAAATTAAACTCAGCGAAACCAAAGTAACACTAACATATCGTAGTTTAGCCTTTCGTGGTCCGTGAAAATTTCATCTACTTGTATGTCCAACAAGCATATATAATAGGTGAAGTGCAGCATACAGCACATAAACGTCCTAACTCCGCTAACGCACCGAGTCCGCTGCTTTATTCCATTGTTGGAAATCTAAGGATCGTGAATTCGAGCAGGAATGCCAGGCACAGAACTGTGACGAAAAATCGTTCTAGTGCCAGTTTAGTTAAGAAATCACAAAACATACATTAGTTAAAAATACTGACAATGATTCGATGATATACTTACACAATTAAAGCCAGTGTCTCGCTGGATAGTTTGCTTTGTGCTGGTTAACATGTAAATGGCAAGCATCCATATGAGGTAGAAAAGGACTGCTTTCATTGACCACGATTCCACCAGTAAGGCGTTGTGCAAGGCACATAGCCTATCCCAAGCAACAAACATGGATGTCTGCTTCTGTTCAAAAGCTTCTTGTACACATAAAGGGGAGTATTTTTATGCAAGTGTTTGTGCCTAAATTTGGCAAATTTCACTCACTTGGGACTAAAGCCAAATTATGGCATTTTGTGGGGTTATTGTGAAATTAGGCTAGACTAGTGGCACATGTTTGGCTTACAGATATCAAGTGGCACCCATTTTTATATGATATATGTTTGTAGATATTCATCATATAATCGAGGTTTGGATGGTGGAATGCAGCAAGTAACTTCTTTTAATATCATTTCCTAAAGAGGTGGATTTCGGGGAGGTTGAATTTGCATCAAGTGGCTTTGTGTTGACATTATGGTTTGTTCTCTATATATTTGAAGCCAAAGCTGAGAAGGGACACTCAAACAATCAAACAAACCTCTTTACAGCTGCACCATTTTCATTTCAATCATTTCAAAGCTCTTTCATTTCATTTCTTTCAATTAAAGTCTACGCACTCTTTCAATTCATTATAGCTTTGTTGTCTTTACTAGTATTCCTCCAATTCAATACAAGTTTTCTCTTTGAATTGTTATTGTCATCTCAATATAAAGCACTTAAGCAATTTTTCTTTCTCTTCACTATTTACATAGGGGTGTGCTATCCACACACCCCATTTTACTTCTCACACACCCCTTGATCATTCTGTCCGTTGATCTTCTTCGATTTATCCAATCCGACGGCCGAAAATTAAAAAAAGTGTGTGAGAAGTAAATGGGGTGTGTGGATATCACACCCCTTTACATATTGTTATTGCATTCTTTACATAAGTGAAGTCTTTATCATATAAGACAAAGAAAGAACCTAAGTTGAGTTCCTCTCCCTCAATGATACAATCTTTTGATTAGAAATTAAATAGCGCAATCTCCATCACTCAAATCTCATTTACTAGAGGTAACTAGTAGTCGTACGCTCACAATCCCCAATCCCATGTTCAAATAAATTCACTGCTTTTTAACAAATATATAAATAAATAAATTTCCGGCCTACGCCGGCGAATTTGGGACGCGAACAGTTGGCCATTAAATTATTACAAAGACTGAGTAATTAGAATACAACATGAAGAAACAGTTATTTGAACTTCCAATATGGTATTTGAATTTTCGACTAGGTGGTCATGAGCTTGTTGAATCTTCTCCTATATTCGAAGACGTTCTTATTGGGCTTCAAAACACACTACCCGTATCCAATATCCATATAACACATTACCAGAATCTATTTATTTAATCTGATGACAAAACATTAAAAAAAAACATGTAGAAAGATAAAGCATGGATTAATCCAAAAAAAAAATGTGCGTATTCGCTGGGGTTTTTTTTTTTTTTATTGGTACGTATTTGTTACGTTGAGAGTTTGTTGTTCGAAAGATTTTTCAGCATACTGCGAATATGACATAATACACAAAGTGTTTAATTATCTAACTGATTGATCTCAATTAATTGTATTACAACACTTAATATATGAATTGTGTTTGCGCACATTGAAAATTTCTTCTTTTATTCAATCACATTTGAAGCTCTAATAGAAAATTTAAATGACCAAAGTACCCTTAAACCCCAAACTGCTACAAAATTCCCACGAAAGGCACGAACTATAAACCGCCGCGACCTCTCAGCGTCTCAGTTGAAGTGGAAGGAAGAGCGAGCAACCCCTCTCTCCCCGAGTCTCTCTGAATCTCTGGAAATCCAGAATGGCGAAAGGTGATGATGCAGTGAGGAAGAAGCAGAACAAGGTCAAAAGAAAGAAGCTCCACAACAAGAACGACCGCTCTTCCTCTGCAATCTCTGCCCGCGTTGCCTCCATTATTGCTGCCAAGAAGCGCCGCCATTCCGGTAAACGCCGCAAATGTCAGGTACTTCCTCCAACCCGACTTTTGGAGTTCCTTTGCTTTGATTATATGTTAATTATAGAAAAGAAGGAAAACGGAAATTGATTATATGTTAATTAGAGTGCATTTTGCTCACATTATTTTTGTTTGTTGGATGATTTTGATTTAATGTAAGCAGGACACAAATCTCGAAATTTAAAATCATCTAACGACAGATAACGAGGTGGTGAATTTTAACACTAATTAATGGTGGTAATTCCTAAGTTCATGTGTTGCTACCTTCCATATGATATGTGAGAGCAAGTAATTTACTGCCGGTTTTGTAACGGAAGCATTTAGATTTGAATACCGGTCCCCGAGTAATTAGGCAGAGTCTTATTTATCATGACATTGCAGGGTATGTGCTTTAGCCTTCCTACCCTTGATGATCCCTTCAACGACAGGAATGATGCAAAGGATTTTGAGAAGAAAGCAACCAAGAAACCCATGGTTTCACATAAGCATAAGAATGTGTTTTTGAATGAAAAAAGTAAAGAAACTCTCGATAGTTATTGAACAGCCTGTTAGAGTATCTCATTTTTACTCTAGGTCATTAACCTTGCCGCAACATGTCCTCTGGCACTGAGGATAAGGAATGTATCATGAACTAATCAACCAACTTGCAAGTAATAAAATTGCCATGGAAGACTTTGTTTCAGCTCGCTAGCTTAATTAGTTTGACTATTTAGGTTGCAGATTAGCTTCTGTGATCGCGGTCAGTTGATTAATTTTCAAGTACCCCCTTCTTCAAACCTCATTAAACTTCGATTCATAATGTTCATAGAGAAACATCTGATCAACGATAAATAATAAGTAATGCATAATTGCTTAAATCATGAGAAAAAGGAAAAGAAGCAGATAAACAGTTCAAAATGCCGTTTACATACTTGCAACAAGATTTTGAAGCAGTCCTACATTATAGTTTATATGTTAGCAAAAAAACTGTACGTGTTAGAATCAAGAACGATCTGTCGGATCGAAGATATTGCACCCAACAGTCCTAGTGCAGAAAATGTTGAGGCAATGATTGTGTTTCCCCAGAAAAGTAAGCTGTACTTGGAGGGCTTGAATACAACATTGTAGAACACCATTGGCAAAATGAAGTCCAGAGGAATGCATCCAAATGCTCCAATCAGAGCGTTGATGTCACCAAAGAATGGAAACATAGCTGCAACAGTTGTGGCTATGACCACAGACAGAGATCGATAAACCAACCTTGGCACAACATTGCGAACAGAGAACTGATCAACCTTTGCATTCGCAAACTTGCGTTCAAGTACTTCATTTGTTGGTTGTAAGTAAACCTGCAGAACCGATCAAGTTTTGTATCATCCACTGAATGTAGTCTTTACGATTCATTCTTGGTGTTGTGAAGCGGATTGGAAGACTTACCACACTAACAGCTGATACTTGCAAGAAGGTGAAAACATTGGTCATCAATAGAACCCAAGTTGGCAACAGAGGCTTTCCGTCAACTAAAAAATTGAGCAGAATTGTTCCTTTGGCCTGATTTCCAAACGCCCAATAACCCGAGATACCAACACTGAAAAATGTCGAAAGTACAACAGCATAGCATACGCATAATCCTTTGAACATTTTTCCTTTAACTGGAGGTGCTATTGTTGCCTGCAAACATATAAATTGCCCCATTAAGTGAGAATTTACTGATTCTACTGAACAATGTTTGACCTCTATCTTTTATCACTGCATTAGATCAAAAGCAAACAATAAATTCGAAATAATAGGACTCCGTTGTCTTTTTTTTTTTTTCTTTTCCTTTTTTTCCCTCAAGTAATAAAGCAATTGGAAAACCTGTATTTCAGGAATAATGCCATTTCCATATGTGGTTGCGATGATTGAAATAGCGCTGAAGGATCCAAAAACACGATTCTGTCCACTTCCGCTTAAAGAGTAGTCCTTCCTAGGAGCATTAGTCGAATTTCCTATGAGCATGGAAGTTAGTTAATTAAACTGATCGCAAGTTATACATTCCGAATAATGTAAAGAAATTGTTTTGTGATTTCTTACCGATATATACGGAACCAGCTGTGGCACAGATGCTATATGCAAGACAAAGGATTAGAGAGACAAGGTTGATATGCCTCAAGGAGTGGAAGGATGGAATTTGTGCCAACACCAGCATCAGGACACCAAAAATTATAACAAATTGGTAGAGTTGCATGGCTTCTGGTCGGGAACTAGAAAGCAAATATATATACTTGTAGAAGAAGAATTATATGTGGGAAAAACAAAAGAAAATTAAAATTCAGTTAACATCCCAAATAATCTGCAAACAAACTACTACTTTAATTGTTTGGCAAGCTACTGCTGCTTGACATAATTTCCAGACTTCAAAGAAATTAAAGATAAATTAATAAATTATAAGTTCATAATTCAGTGTTCTCGTAAAGATCACATAACAAAAGTTTGAAGAGAATGCAGGGTAGGGGAAATGTCGACAGAAATATTAAACTGATGATCACCTTAAGGCTCTGCCCTCCCAGAAGAATGCAAGCTATAACTGCACCATAGCACAAGCCAAATTGAATTGGACCAACAAGGTATCTTCCCCACCCTGGTCCTGTAAAATTAGACCATGCATGCTCATATCATATTTTTTTTTTCGCAATGTTAATAATTTTGCCTCAAATCACAGGGCAATTTACATTTAAGAGGAATCTCAAGGGGAAGAGGGCAGCTATAAATAGTACTCACCCAAAATATCTCTAGCCATGTCGCGGAATCGAAGCTGGCGCATGCCAAGCTGGTCATGGTGTTCTAAAACCAAGGACAGAAGGTTGTAGGAGTAGAACGTTACAAGAGCTGAAATGGTGAGGCATAAAGCCCCAGCAAACCAACCCATCAAGGAAAGTGCATAGGGAAGACTTAAAAGGGCAGGAGCTACAATTGAAGTTGTCAGGTGATATCCACAATGCAACCATGACCCTACATACATATCATCATCATCATCATCATCATCATCATCATCATCATCATCATCATCATCATCATCATCATCATCAATTAAACTCTTCAATTTAACAACAGACCAAAGCTCACTGATCTTGATTCTTGACACACTTTAATTTCATTTTTTGACTAAATGATATATGAACTACTCAATCTAGGGAAAAGTTGATTCGAATTTGGGCGCAAGGTGGCGGACACATACTGCCTAACAGAAGCCTATGATGAACGAATAAGTGATCCAAGTGATAGGGCTTTCGCAGGAATGACACGCCTATTGGCCAAGAGGCATGACTCTAGGAAAAGGGGCTTCGGTTCTAGCGAAGAGATTCACGTCGCTTCACATGTGAAGTGTGAACCAAATACAATAAGTGTATAATAAGGTACACCCCTTGGAGCAAGGGTTGCACCTCTTTTAAAGGTACAGCCATTCAACAAGGGTCTTGTTTTATGGTACCCTCTCGTTGCCTATAAATAAGTTTGCAGTCAAACCATTTCCTTCATTCCAATTCACTTCCATAGAGAAAGAGAGAGAGAGAGAGAGAATAAACCAGTCTAACATCACTACAGATCTTAATTCCTTCATATGACGCAAAGAGAGAATCAATACCTCTAGATTTGAGCACAAATAAAGCTCCAGCATCAAGCTCCTTTGAAATGTTGACTTCTTCATCTTCCTTATTTTCTGCTGATAAATCAGTATTTGAACTGGGAAGAACTGACTCCATAGCTCTCGAGCTATCAGAATGTTTTGGTCTGCCTTTGGATTAACAATATTGCTGCAACATGAACTTCATATAATTGACAACCACATATTCCTCCCCTTCACAAAAAATTGGAAAAGGAAATGGTTTTGTTTTTTTTTTTTTTTTTTTGTGAAGATATAGACAAAGCAAGAAAAACACTTTGACTTGTTTATAAGCCACTGTCGTCTTTCAGCAAAGAAAAAGAAATTAAAGACTAAAAACTGATTTGACAAAGAAGGCAACGGATTTAATTAGGATCCCACAATAATTGAAGGGAAATGTTATTAGCACTTGAAACTATCATTTTGCTATCTTGTAAATGTTGATAATCAATCTTACATTCATGGGAGGAGGGATCTTGCATGTGTGTATAAGTAATTGAGCTACTCTCTATATTGTCAATTGGTTTTATAGTGAAATCTCAACTTCTTTATGGTATCAGAGCAGGTTGCCAATGTGTAAAGGCCAGCGGCCATACGTGCTCCACGTCACGCAATTTCTATTGTCCACGTGCGAGGCTTGAAAATTCGCCACGTATGAGTGACCGTGTTGAGAATGAATTTGACATTAATGGCATGAAAGACCTTAACTTCTTCACCAAACGTATTTTTTCGCATATACTTTTTGTCTGGAGGATGTGATAACTTCTTTGAAGTACTCCATTTAACAATCACGTAATACTACAATCTAATTGAATTGTATAAATGGTACCATCGTTTGTCTATGTACACTCTCTCTTACCCTTTTTCTGATTTTTTGATCACATAATTCTAGTATCCACTTTAAATATCTAGTAAAAAAAAAAGATTACATATGTTGATGATGAATGATGATTTATATATACAAAATACAAATAGATTAGGACTATTGAGTCCTGAATAATCTAAATAAATTTTTATATCAAATTATATTCGACTGCAACTGCAGAAACCTTCCAGGATATATCTTCACGTAGATTATCTCCAACTTCTTCCCTGAAATAGTTGGAACTCTTCAGGTGTTCAATGCCATCTGATATGTCTTTGTCAGCGTATGCAGACCAGTCAGATTCATCATCTGATGATTCTCACGACAACTCTGCATTTTTTCGCAAGCTTAATCATAACATCCTCCGTTGGTTTATGTAGCATATCGTAGTTTAGCCTTTCGTGGTCCCTGAAATTTTCATTTACTTGTATTTCCAACAAGCATATATAATACGTGAAGTGCAGCATACAGCACATAAACGTCCTAACTCCACTAACCCACCGAGTCCACTGCTCTATTCCATTGTTGGAAATCTAAGGATCGTGAATTCGAGCAGGAATGCTGGGCACAGAACTGTGACGAAAAATCATTCCAGTGCCAGTTTAGTTAAGAAATCACAAAACATACATTAGTTAAAAATACTGACAATGATTCGATGATATGCTTACACAATTAAAGCCAGTGTCTCGCTGGATGGTTTGCTTTGTGCTGGTTAACATGTAAATGACAAGTATCCATATGAGGTAGAAAAGGTCTGCTTTCATTGACCACGATTCCACCAGTAAGGCGTTGTGCAAGGCACATAGCCTATCCCAATCAACAAACATGGATGCCTGCTTCTGTTCAAAAGCTTATTGTACACATAAAAGGGATTATTTTTATGCAAGTGTTTGTGCCTAAAATTGGCAAATTTCACTCATTTGGGACTAAAGCCAAATTATGGCATTTTTTGGGGTTATTGTGAAATTAGGCTAGACTAGTGGCACATGTTTGGCTTACAGATATCAAGTGCATCCATTTTTATATGATATATGTTTGTAGATATTTATCATATAATTGAGGTTTGGACGGTGGAATGCAGCAAGTGACTTCTTTTAATATCATTTCCTAAAGAGGTGGATTTCGGGGAGGTTGAATCTGCATCAAGTGGCTTTGTGTTGAGATTATGGTTTGTTCTCTATATATTTGAAGCACATGT